GAATTTTGTTTAAAGAAAAAATATTTTATATTGCTTATTTATGATAAATATCTATAAATAAATTATGAAAATTTCTCAAAACATCAATTTATGATTTTTTTTGGAAACATATACCACAAATCAATAAAATCTAACTATGGATGCTTACAAAATTTCTCAATAATATTTTATGTATTAGTTAAAAATACAAAATCAATAATAATAGGTTTGTTGAACCACTTAAAATAAATATAGATGGGAAAATATTTTTGAAATATGAAAGAAACAAAAAAAATTATCAATTGGATGTATATACTCAATTTGCTATATGTTTTTTTTATTTGTCTTAAAATTATTATCGACTTGGTTATCGCTCGTGTTATCGTTACGGTTTTTGCCACTGTTGTCGTTGATGCGGTTACCATCGGCGCTCCTGACGCGGTTGCCATCCGTGTGGGTGATGCGTCTGTCGCCATCAGTGTTGTCGATGCGTTCGATGGTCATCTTCTACTTTGTCTGTGAGGTGATTCCTTTGAGTAAGAAGATCTCAAAGTCCCCTTAGACGGCGCCAAACTGTGGACGGCGGATCCTACACAGTTGAATTTGTCAAGGATTGAAAGGAGAACTGAGTCTCTGAGTATGAATCACAAAGCAAAAGTTGAAAATATGTTTTATTGCTGTTTCTGTTAAGCTCTGGTTACAAATCAATCGTTTCCCTTTTTGGGAGATGATAATGAACTATATATAGTACTTCTAAGTAAAATGGCCAGCTAATAAATGGGTCTGGCCCATTAAGCAATATATTAAAATTAGGCCCATAAATCTATTAAGCCCATTTTGTTAATGAGTTTAATGTCATTTTGGGTCTAGATTCAGACTGGGCCCTTGCAGACTCGATCCAATTTCGTCAGGACGCCGCAGAGATGATCTCGTCGTTATATCGATCTCATAGGGGAGAAATCCGACCCCTACATCCGTAAAGACACAATTTTATGGTTATTTAGTACAAAATAATGCAGGTAAAAATTCAGTACAAAAGTACGGGTTTGGTCTACGGAAAAATCTTTATAATTGGATATAACTTCAGGTTCTGCCAAGCTTTTGAGGACAACAAGGGCAAAGAGCTTCAAACAGAATCTTACGATATCAACACTAGAATTTGGGAAGCTGCCCCCGTCTCGTACCTTGAGGCAATAGGTTATGACGTATGGAATGTGTCAACCAATGTGGCCATCGACGAGAAGATTTATGTTATGAGCTCAGCGAAGTCTCTCTCCTACAACACAAGAAATGGATGTTGTGAGAATTTTCATATATATGATGACTAGTGGAAAACTGCACTCACCGTAAAAAATAACACCTTGTTCGTCTACTATGCGAATGAAGGTCTAATGTGGTATAGTTGCGAAGCAATGGAAAAACCATATAAAAAGCTCATGTTTAAGAAAAAAACAGTTTCATCCTAATAAAACATAAACATAAGCGATATCAAATCTGAATTTTTTCGATAGATACATAAGTGATTACTTGGACACAAACAGAGAGAATAAAAACATATACCTAGAAATCAAATAGACTTTTACCCAAAAAATCAGAAGTCTGTTGTTTTTTCAGCAATCGTGAGTCGTCGTCTCTTTTTTTTTATAATAGGGAAAGCGAGAAGTCGTAATGGGGTGTCGAACAAGTTTTTCTTGTTCTTTTCTGTATAATATTTTATTTTATATACTCTAATAATACTATTTTCCTATTTTAAATATCATATATATTTTTTTTAAGTGGCGTCCCTCCTAAATTGGGGGTCTTATTCAAATGTTTCACGAAACTTTGCTCAAATCCGGCTCTGCATTGGAGAGGTCTCAAAAAGGTTTTTGTGGGGTTGCAGAGCCAGTTCAGCTTCTTGGTTACATTCCACCTGGCTATGAGTTACGAAACTGTTTTTCGATTTCAGGATAATATGCGATGATTCTCAAGGTTGATGAAGAGGATTTCAGAGGCCATTCAGCTTTACTCCACGAGAGACTCTTTGCATCAGTTACTCTCTTTTTGGAATGCATTCAAAGAACTTAAACGTTCCTTTACGTACACAATTTGTGACATAACCATAGAGAAATACAAGGTATATCATATTGTAAATTCATTTTCCTACCCAACTTTGACACAGATTCATCAACTGTATATGCATACACAAATTTCGTATAAAAAGTACCAAAGTAATTGCATCTTCTGCCCAAAATTTTGATGAGGCACTACAATACATATACTTTCAAAACGGAACCAATAATAAAGAGGCAATCAAGCAAGGTTTGATATCTTCTTTTTGTCACATTTTATTTGATATCCAAATGAATGGATGTATCTGAATGTCTGGGTAGCTTGCTTCGCGTTTGGCTCTAGTTTAAAACAATGGATGGAGTTATTGAATTATAAAATCTG